GGGTTAAACCACAACAGCACTACCTGATATTGCTCTCTATCACTTGTCCCCCCACAATGTTCTGAAAGTTGCTTGCATAAGCAGCTTTCCTGACCCTATATAAAAATGTAAGCCACTATCAGGTATTAGAAAGTTAATTAAAGTGTCTGTTTCTTTGCTGCCTTCTGCAAACTGCAAGTCATCTTGCTGAAAAATGGTCTCAGTGACTGAAAAACATAGATTCCACTGCCAAGGATCAAAATTTGTCTGTTGCTGCTCGTTGTGAAGTAATACAGAGGAATACAGAGTTTGTATTTCAGTAATGGTTAATTGTACAATAGTAAGAGGTCATGAATGGAATTGAAGACCGCAGGGGAATATTTTTCTTCTTTGTTCCAACTGCATCTGATGTCCAGGATGCTTTGCTTTATTTTCTTTTTTTCCTTCTTACTGATTAAACATCTCGGATATTGCTTGAAGGAACCTATTTGACTTACTGCCACTCTTTTTATTTCCTGAAATGAAACATGATGAGCATGAGGAAAACAGTGCAGGAAAGTAGACCATGAAAAAGAAGCACAAGGAATTAAAAGAGTAAAGGAGAAGATAAACATACACAGGCACAGAGTAGAGTTGAAAGAACGTGGAAAGTGAGAGAAAGAATAATCTAGAGCTAAAGAAAAGGAACAGAAAACCTAATCAGAGGGAAAGCTGAAAAGCTGTGAGTGACTGGGAAAAAAAGAACAGTTAGACACAGAGAAAGAAGCAAAGATGGTAACAGAAAGAAAACAATGGGAAATACAATGCTAATCCCAACATGACATTGTGGGGAGTGCTCCAAAACACATCCACATTCTGCTTGAAACATGAGTCCAGACCTCATGCTTGAGGACACTGCAGACACACTATCTGCTCAGACAGGTTTTTTTGGGGAGCCTTACAGCACACTGGAAGAGGAGGTGTGGGCCAACATCTCTTTGATCTGTCCTAGCCTTTCCCCATCCTGTATTTTATCTGATTTTGCAGTGAAGATCCAATGGCTGCCATAAGCCAAACAGGTCAAACATCAAAGCTTTTCTAGAAGAAACCTGACACTGAACCCTGGAAGATGAGATGTAATCACAGCAGGGAATGAGCACAAGGTACCTTCTGATAAAATGGCCATACAAGTGCTGATCTATTGGCAATGTGGACGTAGGAATATTTGTTCTAAAGAACTCCCAGCTCATGAAGTTTTAGCTCTCTCATCTATTATTGAAGTAAGAATAGCAATGGGGAAGTGAGTAAATATAGGAAAAACTGTCGTACCTGAAGTCTGTGATTTTTTTCCACTTTTTTGCTTCATTGTATTTGTCCTAAAAAAAAAAAAAAAAAAAAAAAAAAAAAGTAGTTCAGGACAAATCATGATGCCATTGGCAACAAACTGAGTAAAAAGTCTTACCCTAGTAATACTGTTATGTACCAGGATCAGTATTAAATGGGTGCTATTTTAATCTCTTTCTGCCTGCAGTAGAAACATGTGTTGCTAAATGATGTAGTAAGCCTTGTTTTGAAATACAAGCACACTAACACATAGAGAGATTTGAATGTTATCTACTGCTCTTATATATGACACATCTGAACATAGCACACACCTGAACACGTCACTTAATACCTAGATGTGGCTTGAGAAGTGATTATGTTGAAGTCTTTTTCCTTGTTGTGATGCAGATGCTCATGTAAGTGGCAGAGTTTTAATTTCCTTCTGCCATCTAATTTTTTGCTTGCCTAGTTTGTGCAGTACCACCAACAAAGTCTGCTCCTTTTCTGCACAAGCCAGGACGGATATGGTAGTGAAAGAGACACAGAAAAGACAGATTTCTGGTGCCAGGACATGTTGCTGGTTTGGGCCAGAAAGGAAACTGGAGCCTGCCCCATGCTATGTGGTTCTCTCCTATACCGGGTGTCTAAATCAAACCTGCCTGTATGCAGATCCTTCAGCATTCATGGAGACCACTAGCATTTAAGTCACTGAACCTTCATGCACTTTCGCTTAATTGCCCATCTTTGTGAAACCAGGGGGTAGGAGGGTGGGTAGGGGGAATAGTCTTTGAAAAGCTTCTGAACATCTGAGAAATCAAATTCTGGATAGTTGGAAACCCCACCCTGTATTCTTCAGCTTCCTAATCCATTAAAGCATTAGGAAAATCACAGTAACCCTGAAAAGGTGTTGCAGTAATATATTTTCTGAAGACAAAAATATGACACATTTTACTTTCCAAAGTCAGCAGCAGAAACTAAGTGTTTTAGATTAGTTTTCCAAACATACCTACCTAGTCTTCTTCTTTTCTGTTCTTTTACTCTTTTTTGTATCCAGAGGATCTATATTCTTCGACTGCATGGTGGTTTCTTGCCTAGTTGGATTCAGGAAGCTGTGGAAGGCTTCCTCTTTCATCTTTTCTGGGACTCACTTTATCTGAGAGGGGAACTTGGTTGAAAGAGGTTTCTTTAATAACAACTTCTTCCTCCATTTTGGGGTTTGACACATCTTGTGGGTCATCCCTCTTGAAGGAAAAAGGAAAGATTAACAGATACCTAGCAACTGACATAAAAAAAGAGCTCTGCACAGAGCTGATCAGCACAGCTGGGACTTTGTGATAATTTCCTGTATAGTAGTCCCCTATATACTGAATGTTCTGCTATACAGTGGTGTCAGACAGACCATCCATAGGAAATGTGATATATTTATCTAGAAGAGAGACTACTGTTTTCCTACATTATCAGTCTGTTGGTGATTATTGGCCTACAGCTTTGGCTATGCAGTCTAGCAAGGGATAATAGGTCCTAAAGCTTCACCTCTGAGAGATGTTTGTGGCTTCACCTCCAAGTTCTCTGCTTCAGATTCATGTCCAGGACTCCTTTATCTCCAGGTTATTTTCCTCTTTTTGCTCATACTTGAAAGCTGAGAGAAGATCTTTGCTCTCCCTCCCATCCAGATTTTAAGATTGATCCCTACTAACATCTTTCTAAGCCTCCTGCTTTAAAGTAGCTGAGGCAGGGATACCTGTAAGTCTCCCATGTGCAGACAGCTTTTGGTCTAAACAGGAGGAGAGCAGGGAAGATGTAACAATGCAAAGGGAAATCCAAACTTAAAAACTGTCAGTAGAAAATAAAAGTCAATAGTGAGTGAAGGTATTGAAACACTGATGAACATGTGACTGGAAAAATAAGACATCTACTCTTTAAAGAAAAACTGATTCTAGGTCTGGAGCATGATTTTAGTATATTGGATTGCTAGTAATATCTGCTGTACACAGGTTATGTCCAGAAGGTTGTACAAGGATCTAGTCTTTGACATCAGATGAGAGAGAAAACAGAAAACCCAGAAGGTTGGCTATGTAGGGATAGTTGAAGCAGAAAAGTATCAATTAAGAAATTTTATAAATTCTATACTTACCTTCTCTTAACAACCAATGCATTCTTGATTTAACCAATATAGTCATGGGATGTGGCTGTGCAGATTTTTCAGACAAATCTGAGTCCTATATATCTGGAAATCTAATCTGAATGTGCACATTTTCCCCCTAGATTTTCTTCAGTCATCCCTTTACCTTATCACTGATGTTTCTTGAAAGAATAATCTCCCACAGTCCTCTCCTCTCTCCAAAATAACTTTTTTTTCTAGTCCACTTGTAATTTTTCTGCTGTACATACACAGAATTGTTCCTTCTCTCTGCTACCTATGCCAGAGGGTTGTCGAATTCAGTCAAAAAGAACTGTTTAAGAACATACTGACAGCTCTAAGGGAAAACAAAATACTGAACAATAAGTATTATGCTATTTGTTGGTTCACAAAAATTTATCAGGGCTGTGGTGTGCCTAGAATCCTCACTCCCATTGCCCTGAAATTCTGTAGGGAGTTTACAACAAGCCAGCTATTTTGATAAACTGTAGCTCCTTCAAAGCACACAAGAACTTGGACTTGAGAGATAGTAAGGAATATTGGCACAAGTGGTACTTTCTGATTGGTCATCTTGAACTTTCTGTATCTGTTTGCTAAAGACTTACTTTTTCTGGTGAGTTGTTTGGGCTGGGAGCTTGCTTGTGACACTTGCCAAAATCCTTGCATTTCACACTGACTTTGATATTGCTGGTATTTTCTGAGGTTTTCAGGAGAGAGATGAGCTGCAGCCAGAGGAGGAAGAGGTGTTGTTGCCCGTCTGGCGGGGCACAGAGCTCCAGGTAATAGGAACGGCCATTTACTAATTTTAACATGATCTGGTGATTATCTGTGCTGTGGACAGAGAGTTCCACAAACTTCAAGGGGAAGAGTCTGTAAAAAAAGGGGAAACATCATTAAGCACAAGTGGACATTCCTCCCAAAGAAGATACTGTGTCTGTCAGACCTACAGATAGAATAAGACTGAAAGTGGAAAACCTGCAATAGGAAGAAGCTGCTGAGTGGATTTGGACACTTCTTCTGTGCCTCTAGCTGACTATGGAAGAAATGGCAGGGAGCAGTGCACAGAGGGGGGGCAGATAAAATTGGCTTTTTTTTTTACAATGTCTTTATTCCACTGCCTTATTCCCTGACAATCCTGTACCCCCAATCTTCCTACCAGCTTCCTGCTTCTGATATATTTAGAAAAAAAGTATATTACTCATCATTTGTCTATATGCATGTGGGTAGTGTTGGCCTGAAGTGATGACTGGAGTGGGGCCTAAAGGTGTGTACTTAGGTGGTTCTCCTAACTTTACTGTGCTAGCGCTGGGGCGAGGAGTCAATGCGAATATGAGGTCTGCTAATAAACTGACCCTTAAAAGAATGAAAATGCTGTATGTAAATGGGAAATATATTCTTATTTCTTACTTACTCTTCAAAGACATATTTAACCCTTCTCAGTGCTAACTGACCTGGTAAGTGCTAGCTCTTCCATGCGGGATGGCTGCTTTGAGAGTTTCCAGTTTTTCCTACTTTCCTGTGTGGACACAGGCACCTTGCATGCTACCAGCATCACATTGGGCACTGATGAACTAGGACTGGCAGCACAGATACCGATGGTCACACAGATGGGTCGGTTATGGACAGAAATTGGTTCTCCTCTTTGATTAACCTGAACAAAAAAAACCAAAAAACAAAAAACAAACAAACCACAGTACAGACATTTGCCATATGATCTCTCAGAGAATATACTACCAGTACGTTTCATGGTGTTTTGGCTTGGAGGCCTTAAAGCTTATGTACTGGGTTGGTGAGGAGAGAGGCAAATGTGGAATAATGAGACAGGAATGTCTATGAATGAGAAGAGAGGAAAGAAGTTTAATAAATATAAAGGAGGACTGGAAATCACTGGCTCCTGTGTAATCCTCATCACTGAGTGTCCGGTTGTGGTCAGAAACCTCTTAAGTACCATTATGTTGAATTTCTCTTAGTGTAAAGGTGATGGAAGAGGCCCTCTGTTCTGATGATTCATTGTTTTTGTCAGCATTACTGTGATACTAACGAGACCTGTTTACGAACCAGGATCCTGCTAGCTGTTGTACAAACACAGAATGGAAAAAGATTCCAGCTAATTTATGTGTAAGACATAAAATTACAGAAAGAGAAAAATGAGAAAATACAAGGAGATAAAATAAGTTTGTAAGTATGATCAAATCACATGTCCTGTACCATTGTGAGGGTTTGGTTTTGATAGGCATCAGAGAAAAACTGTCCTAAGAAGGAATTTGAGGGAGGACAGTGCATTACATTTGAGTCTATCTAGTAGATTCTCCTCCAAAATGTGAGACAGTATGTAAAAAAAATCAAAGGCTTTTTTTTTCCCCCCCATTTTGATATAAATGAGTAAGTGATGTAGCTGTTTTCCTGGGTTGACTGGTTAGGGCAACTGCTTCCTTGATAGTAAATGAGGCCTGATAAATAAAGCAGGGATAAATCATAAAGTACCTTGAAAACAGAGACTTGTAGCTAATTAACATTCTGCATGTATATCAACAAGGCAAGATTGAATTAATCAAGGCAAGACCAAAAGATGTTGCAATTACCACAAAGTGAGGTGGTGAAATAGGATGAAAAACACAGCTGAGATACATCATGTAAATAGAATTCAGCTGTTTTAGACACACTGTAAATGCAGTATTGTAGGAAGGTGGTGTTGCCAGAATCTGGCAGGGTTCTTCGGCAAGTGCTTAGGGTAGGGGGCAGGTGAGGCAGTGATACTGCCTGCAAGGATGCTAGAAGTTGCAAGTAGGGGGAGATTTTCTGGGGAAGGCTGGCTGTCGTTTAGGCTAGGTTGAATGGACATTGATGGCTAAAAACCTTAACGAGATAGCACAGAACCAGACATTTGCCAGAACAGTCCTAGCTGTTGCTACAGGAAGGAAGGGTGAAAACATCACTTTTTGTCCTCCTCCTGTAATTTGCAGCATTGCTGTTGCTGGGTTTCTGGACTATTGCCTGCGTTGTGTGAGCAGAATTAGTCTATAGGAGAAGGGAAACATTATATCCATGTGTGTGTACTAAACAGAGAATAAGAATAGCGAGAATAAGTGACTGAAAAAATACCTGTTGAGCTGAGGGAGTAAAAAAAAAAAAAAAAAAGGGTAACCATTGCAAGCAATTTTATCTTGAGAATGCCAAATGATTTAATTTTAATGACTTTTTACCTGGACAAACTTGCTCTCGAAGATGTGAGCAGAAGTAAAAGGAGGATATTCTCCTTGGCGAAGAAGTCTCTGAAGGTCACCCATAACGGATGCCTGACTTGAACTGAGGCTCTTAAAATCAAACTTCCTATTCATATTGCCTATCCACAAAACATAAATAAGTTTATAAGTTAAAGGGGATAGAGATAGAAAGGCTTATATGTTAAGAAAACCCCTCATGATTATGCAGAGAAGCAAACATAACTCCTGATAGGTTATATTATACTGCTAGAGAGTAGAACACCTCCCCGCAAAACACACATTTTTAAGACCATGCAATCTCAAGTGCAAAGAGGAATTTAGTAAGGCTTTCTCACAGCTTGACTCATATTTTACGATTTAAGGAAAAGTACATGTGAATCTATAAACACTAGTTTGCACATACTATTCTATACTTCAGTATATTCTTCTTGTTTATAAATAATCTTGTGTAGGTATTGTCCATGCAATGCAGGTTACCAGAGAACAGCAAGAGTTGGTCTTCTCCCTGAGGGAATGGTGAGCTGGGGGCCAAGGATGACCTCAGCAGTCAAGGCATAGTCCTCTGATCCCACAGAATTCAAAGTGAATGGGCTGAGCAGGATGGTGGTAACAGGGTGCACTGACAGGCACAGACAAGAGAAGGTGCAGAACCAGATCTGGAGTCCTTCCTGACACTCAGCTTCAGGAGTCCAGTCAGGAACAGCAACAGGTAGGACTGGAGACAAGACTATAACAGATGCCCAAGGAGGTCCACCCAAGAGTAAGGGCTATCAGTAGATTCACTTGTAGCCTCTCTCAAGCAAGGTCTAGGTGTCCAGGGGAGGCCTCAAGTGCATCTCCAAGACGCAGGGGCAGGGGTGTGGGGTGGAGATCCCAGGTGAGGCTGGTCAGGGCAGTTAAGGCTTATTGGTGCACCCAGGACGCAGGCCTGGGGGTTAGTGAGCCAATTAATTTAAAATGCAGCTTGGATTCACCTGTCTTGCTCTGGTTTGTAAATTGCAGTCTCCCTCTATACATTCTTTTGCCAGAGTAAGCTTTTACATCAGCCAGGTGATGTCATAATCAACCTATGGTAACTCCTTTTTTTCACCTTAAGTGATAACACTGCTGCTTCCAACTCAGCCTGGTGCTCGAACAGGGTTCAGGCCACGAATGAGCACCAGGCTGGTTGAATTGAAATCAGTATTGCAAAATGAGAATGATATTGTCTAACAGTTTGAAGAACTGCTGTGCAATCTCATTTGCAGGTATACAGCCTCCTTTGGGTAGGTCCCCGTCCACCCTTGCTTAGGTAAGGCCCGCTGTAGGACAGTTTCTGGATTATCTGATAATACTCTGACATAGCAATGTCCAGCAGAAATGCTTTCTGCTCTCTCTGCTGTACAAGACAACTCTGATCCAGCGTGGAAAACAATCGTGCTTTTCTTTCCCAGCTGGATTTCAGCTGTGTAATATACATGGCTGGAGAAGAATAAATAGCATTGCTCTGGCAAAACCAACAACAATAAGCCCTTCTTCAAAACTGAATTGCCTTTCCCTCTCTAGCCAATGGAAATGGAATTGTGAACACCACCATGGGTGAGTAACTGGGCTGGAGGAAGCTGACTCCACAGCCAAGTAGTCACAGCTCTTGCCTGAATCATGGAAGGTGCAAGTCCAGTCTACCTCCCCCCAGTACACGTGTACATGTATTTGGACCCTGCAGTAAGTGTGGTATGTGGGTACCAGAGGAAAGAGAGTCTGAGCTAAGATGGTGTTAAGAAACAGTAGACCCACAAGGACTCCTGTACTGCAGGATAATAACATTTTCAAACCTAAGACAGCATTACCATATGATGCCCTGTTGGGCCATGTGCATGTTCTGGCATGGACTGGTGCCCCTTCATCACTCATTGCTCTCATGTGGTCACATGTGTTTAATCTCCCAGTCTCAGCGTCATGCTGACACAGGTCTCTTGTGACCCACAGACCTCCAGTCTCTCCAGGCCCTGTTGAGCCATGTGCATGTTCTGGCATGGACAGTGCTAGCTAGCTCTGGTGCCCCTTCATCACTCATTGCTCTCATGTGGTCACATGTGTTTAATCTCCCAGTCTCAGCGTCATGCTGACACAGGTCTCTTGTGACCCACAGACCTCCAGTCTCTCCAGCAGCTGTCTGAGACTTCCCTGGTCCCCCAGGAGCTAGCTCCTTCCATGGTCTTGCCTTCTCCTCACCCAGGAAAACAAGTCAGAAATGATTGGGAAGGGCACAGCCAGTGCACCTGTTTATAATTGACCAGCCCTTGTTATCCCTTTATCTCTCTAACTTTTCTACATCTCTTCCTCCTTAAATCCCCTACACCCACCCCTTTTACCACTTTTGATTCCTCTCCTAAACATTCCATAAATCTTGTGCAATCCTAAAATGCTCTTCCCGTGCATCCCGTAATGTGTCCTGCACTCCCAGGCAGCCCTCCCATTGCCCCATGCTGATGGGTTTCGCACCTGGGCAGGGGCTGGGACACTCCTGTGACAGCCCTGGGGGAGGCCCAGCCAGGGGGTCCCGATGACTCCTTAACTTGGGTTCCTGCCTGCCATTGTGCCCCTGTGCTCCTCTGGGTCTGTGGAGACCGGCCTTTGATGGGCTGATGGCTCCTGTGATGGGCCTGGGAGTAGCCAAGGCAGGGCTTGTTATTCCAGTTCTCCTACCTCCCATCCCCTCCGTGCTCCATTGTGTGTGTGCTTCTATCACTCCCCCAAACAAAGCAGCATGATTCCCTAGCAACCCAGGTTGCCAAGAGCATATTAAGTCTTGTCTTCTGCTCTGTTCTCCGGCTTTTCATAGCACATTGGGCAAATGGATTGGATTTGGCCAGTAGGGAGGTAGATTACAGAAAGTCAGTCATAGATGTACAGTGCCAACTAAGTATCGTTTATTCAGATGGGTACAAGTACCATTGCACCTGCATGTGTACCTCTCCCCTCCTGAAAGACTGGCAGATAAGTAGCTCTCAGGCCATTTTTATTTTCATTATTCAATACCTTTAGTGATGAATAGATACGTAGCACTGACACAAAAGCCTCAACAGGCTGTGCTTGCAGGAAGGCATAGTACGGCACAAACAACCGGCTGTAATCAGCATTGGCTCCAGTTTATTCACCTACATGTTCCTGTGAACTAATTCCCCTGAGCAGAGCATGTGCACCTACCATGGACTCTGCAGAGCCACATCCCAAGAGACTGACCACCATGAACATGCCTGTTCCAGCAACCTCATTCAAATACAAGAAAACTATGGGAAAATATTAAGCCTTTTTTTTTTTTTCACTGCAGTTTCTCCGTGTATGCACAAGGGTGGTCTTGCCTTAGGTGGGATTTCTTAGGTCAGCTGGCAGCATTCCAAAGTAATGCAACAGCATCCTAAAACAAGAGCACAGGTGAAAAGCCTGTCAGCGCTAGTAGGCAATCCATCTGGCAATAAACCACAAGAAAAGATCAGGCATAATAAGGTAAAGTATCAACATTATAGCATAGCTGTCAAGCCACCAAAGCAGGTCTTTTCACACAGTATAGAACAGATTCTCAGCTGACATAATCAATGCAGTCTCCATTATCAGATTAAATTAAAGACAAATAAATTAAAGGAAAATACTTACCAGGACCAAGAACTGCAGATGGATTGCTCAGAATTGAATGGAAGTGAGTTAAAACAGACGAGCAAATTCTACACAGATAAAAGTAAAATTATGTCTATGAGGAAAACATTTTCTTGAGCTGTTGTTGTAATTACTGTTTTTAGGTAGACTACTACCAAAAAACAGTATGAGACTTTAAGGTTATCTGTATTTTAAGATCTGTAAAAACACATTAGTCAGAAGCACTGAAGAAAAAGAATTAACTATTGGGAAGTAGAGAACAAAGTCATCATTATGTGATTATATGAGATAGTGATGCCTTTTAATACTGTGTGCAGTTCTGTTCTCCTTGTCTCAGACTAGGAGAAAAACTGGAGAGTAAAGTAAAGAGTGTAAGTATAGTATATATTTATATATA